AAAAATTTTGAGGATTTTTGAAGATGAAGGACACAGATTTCTTCATTTTTGCTTTGGCATATTTAATAATTGCCATTTTGTTCGGCTATATTTTTTAATCATTCAATTCCGAATTGTTTTCACTGACCGAATTGTTTTCCCCGGATTTTATTAAGACAGTGACTTTTCAATGTGCTTTATCACAAGAATAATGATGCTGAAGCACCAAGAATAAGTATATTTTGCTGCAGATCAAGTATTTAGAGTAGCTGCAAATACCTTTGGAATTAAACTTTTCATTGACGGAATTTATCCTTTTACCCATACATATATAGTTGACATTCTCATTGTTGTCATTTATGAGTAAAAAATACATAAAAAAGAGGCCGGCAAAATTGTTCACAATTTTCCAAATATTCACAAAAATCACTCACAATAATTCACATGAATCGAATTTGCGTGGCTAATCACATTTTTATTTATTTATTTTTACAAAATTATTAAGAAAATTAAATCAATAAATATTGTACCCTATACAGAATTAGACAAATCTTTTTAATATATACCGGATATTGATGCCCTTTAACGTTAAGGCAAAATTTTTTTATTTTTTCAAAGGACACAAATATGGAATTTTTAATTTATTTTCTGAATTTATTTTTGTTTTATATTATTTTTATAAAAATTTTCTAGAGTTTAAATTTCTAGAGTTTAAAATCTGTCGTGCGCAGCGAAAAGTTTAAGTGCATCTTTTTGATGCAGTTGAGGGCGAGCGTATTACATAATTTATTTAGAAGAAGCGTATATCAAAATTGTGTTTTTGGCAATTTTTTATTAGAACTTTCAATCAATTGCTTTTTAAATTATTTAACTCATATTATTTACCTAATACACTCTGTTTCAAAATTATACATATAAATTATTCAAAATTAAGTAAAACAATGACGGACAGTTTGGTTTTTTTGATTAACAGTTTCGGTTTCAATGCGATAAAAATAATTTCCTAACCTAGCAAAATTCAGAGTATCTGATCACAAGATTCGAATACTCAAAAAAAATTTAAAAATCTTTTTAATATTTTCAAAAATTAAAAAAATTATTTGGCAAATATTGCAAAAAATTTTTTGAAAAATAAATGCCTGCTAATTGGCTTAGCAGAAGCTTAATGTTAATTAATAAAGTAATGTAAAAAAGCAGAAAAGCAGAATTTTATCACAAAAAACAGTGCGAATTTTAACTGTAAAAAATAGTGATTATAAACTGGCACGACACTTGCCTAATGTCAGAGTAAGAAACTGAACTTAAGATAAAAATTCATTTTATGTTAACGACAATTTTGTTTTTGAAATTCGGAAATGTTTGCATAAACACATTTAATCAATTTGATCTCTCACACTTTAATTTTCAAGGATTATGGCAAGTGTCGAATGTGTAGTTATGCACAATGTGTGCGCAAAAAAAGTCCGCAAAAATGTCCGGGGGATGCCCAAAAGTACCTAAAACTTAACTAGCCCTACAATATTTTAAAATTTTATTTCAACAAAAATATATTTATAAATTTCAAAGCATATAGATTCGAAAATTTTTTTGAAATTTGAATTAGTTTTTAAAAGATCCGAATCCAGGTGAATTCCCGAGGAGTCACTTACAAATTTTTAAATTCTATTTAATTTATACAAATGTATGTCCAAAAATTTCTTGTCCGCAGAGCACAAACCAATATTTGTCTACTTTTTGTAAAATTATGTGCTGAGGTCTTAAATTCTGATTTATTTTTACGGAAAGTTTATTTAATTTAGTTTTAATAAATTTTATTAAGCTAAATAATGTTTAATTTTACCAACTAAAATAAAATAATAAAAATCAAAATTCGCAAAATGTTGAAAAAGCAAAAATTTTGGCTTCTTGGTTTTCTAAAAAATTTAGACTTTGATTTTTTAAATTTTATAAAATATTGTTCAGATAATAATGTATAATGAATTTTGCTCGGTCTTTCGATTACTAGTATGCCAAAAGCTTAATTTAACAATAACAGAATACCCAATATTTATACAAGTGGAAAACAAAAAATTTAAAAAATTGTTTAATTTTACCAAATAAAATAAAATGATAAAAATGAAATATAAATATCAGTGTTAAAAAATGTTATGGTTTTGATTCAAAACAAATATTTTTCAGTGTAGAATTTTAAAAATGAATAATATCAAATTTAGTTTTCGCTTTTTTCTTCCAAATTTCTTTAAAATATACAAATTTCTTATTTACATTGTTGTAAGTATTATTTCTTACAACATATAATTTTGACGTACATAAAAAAGCTCAAAACTTTTTCTCGTCTTTGTTAATCTTTTCCCCAGCATTTCTGATAAATTAGTCTTTTTGATACTTTTATTGTACACTTTGATCTCGGAAACGGCATTTTCTACTGCTAATCTTGCTAAAAAAGGGAATCTTTAGCTTTTAGTTTTAATAAAGCAAAAAATTATATGAAGAAAAAACATGCCAGTGCTTAAACCAATAGCGGGCAGAAAGTGAGCTTTTTTATTTAAATCACTTATATCCGCAATAATTGCCGAGCCTTTCTTTGCATATATTTCTTTAACCTGAGTTTCTATTTGTTTAGATTCCATCTCAAATGTACTGAAATGATCCAAATAAATAATTTGTTCTGTATCATTTTCACTTGTTTCTTCAAATTTATAGTTACTACTTCCTTCTTCTTTTGCTTCTTTTTCATCTCTTGATTTAATTATCACTTTAACTTTATCATTATTTTTGTATATCTCATTATATACAAAATTAAAAAGAGCCTTGAACCATCGTTTTTCCAGTTCAACAATAAAATCATCAAATTTTTTCAATTCATCATTATGTGCTTTCTCAGCCTTATTTAAAGGTATTTATCTCGTTTATGACCCTGCATGTTCACTAATAATTTTTTAGGAAACGTCGGATTTTTCGGAGTCGTTAGAATATTAAGAATGTTTCAATTGTTTAACAGAATGAAAACGGCTCTTGTCCAGTTTATGCGTTCAATCGACTTTTATGCGTCCAATGAAACTTTATGAGTCCACTGAAAGTTTATGCGTCCAATCAAAATAAAATTGGATTTTTCTTTATATTTTGAAGGTGGGGTTGGGTTCTTTAACATTTATTCATGTTCGGGACCTACGCCCACTGGGTCTGGGACCGTTCCTTGCCCTATCACTCGAAATTTCTGGAAGTTGTGGCCAATTTTTAAAAATTTCGGAAAAACAATTATAACTTACCGAAATTTCGGGGGATAGGGCAAGGAACGGTCCCAGACCCAGTGGGCGTAGGTCCCGAACATAAATGTTAAAGAACCCAACCCCAACTTCAAAATATAAAGAAAAATCGAATTTTCTTTTGATTGGACGCATAAACTTTCATTGGACTCATAAACTTTCGTTGGACGCATAAAAGCGATTGGACGCATAAACTGGACAAAAGCCTAAAAAACTTATAAAGATGTTAAACACATTTTAAAGGAAACATTCTGTATCATATGATTTTGTTTGCTAACTACTGAATTAATTTTTGCAAGCGAAAATTTTCGATATTTTTGTGTTAAGAATAAGTAACTGATTATTTATTTACCGTGGAAAATAAATCATGATAACCTATTTTATATTAAGAATTTGGTCATAGTTTTAAAAATGTAGATGTATTCTAGACCAATTACCTTTCAAAATTATCAAAATTTTTGCATGCGGCGCAGATACAAGAAGAAATCTGGATTCATGACCTTCCAAGTTTCTCAAAATTTTCGGATATCAAGGCAGTACTATTTTTTGGTCAAAAAGTTTGATTCCGGTTATAATCTAGACATCAATAGTCTATTTTGTTTTTCACAATCTTTGATATAAGGACACGAGATAAATACCTTTTTTAATTCCTCTTTACGATACTTCGATTTGTTTTTAAATTCACCATCACGTATTTTTCTTTCAGTTTTAATTTCTTCAATTAATTTCACAATTGCCTCAGGCGTTTTTGATTCAATTTGTATTTTTAATTTTGTCTCAAATATTCGCACAAAAGTAAATGATACGGAATTTGAACACATAATACTTCTATATTTATCTTTTTTATATCCCAATGCCACTCCATATGAAATTAAAGACACAATTCTTTCAAAGCGTTTTCTAAGTTTTTCAGAAAGAAAATCTGCTTCTTTAACCAGTGTATCTATATTTTCTTGACTTATATAACTACCGCTTTTTTCAAGTACACCATTGTAGAGAAAGATTCCTTCTTTAAATACATTTATGTTATCAAATTTTTTGTTTAATATAGCAAAACCATAGTTTTCAGTTGTTGTTTTTAATTCTAAATTTTTTAAATTTTATTTTAGGTACAATTTTCAAAATTGTTTTAGGAATGATTCTTTTAGATTTTTGTTTAGCAAAGTCATGGGTTTAAATCAGGGTTCCGATCGACAAAATGCCAACCAAAATTATAAAAATCTCGATTTAAAAGTATATAGGGAGAAAATTTCCAAATTTAAAGTATACTCCAAATTAAATTAGAAAATATTTATGCGTGCTCAAATCTTTTATATTTCTCTCCTAAATGAATCTTTTCTAATAATTTCTTGCTTCAACTGAGCATTTTGTGCATTTCAACGCATGACATGTCAAAATTCGCTGTCACAGGAAGCAAAGCTCTGACAGTCTTTTGAGGAAGCAAAGCTAAAGCTCTGACAACAGGAAGCAAAGCTCTGACAAGCTCTGACAGTCATTTTGAGAATTTCGAAGGCCCTAGGCTAAAAAAATTCACTTTTTTGCCCAATCCCTTCCCCAATTTCATTTTCAATCAAAAATGTTGATTTCAAAGTATATACTTTCAATAAAGTATAATTTCAATTTTGTAAGTATGGAGGTCGGTTTCAAAGTAGAATACTTTCAATTAAAGCACGAATCGGAACCCTGGTTTAAATGCATTAGGTCTCTGATATAACATTATGATAGTAAGTAAATATCAAATTGACCTCATAAAATTTAAATTTTTATTTTATATAAATTTACTATAATCAAAATTTCTATTTTAAAATTACCTAAAAAATTTTTATGAATATTATCGTTATAACTATCAGCACAGAAAAACACATCAAATGAAATTTCCCGATCTGCAATAGATTCTCCTTCTAAATTTTTCATTTTGTTTTTATTTATATAAAAATTATTTTTTTCGTCAAGTTTGAGCCTTTTATTGAAATTCTGGCTTAATTCTTTACTGCTTTCAAAACTTCTATCTCTTTTTTTATTGAAAGGTTTTTGTTTTTCATCATTCGTAAATTTTCTAACGGATTTTCTCAAAATTGCTAAAGGCTTCTCTTGTTTCAAATCAATTTCAATAATCTCTGTCTCATCCATAATTTCCAAAAATACATTTTCTTCATGATTTCCTTTTTGTTCATTTACATGTTCAATTAATTTATTTAACCTCTCTTTTAACACAGTTTCCAAAATTTTACTTTTAATAATAAAACCAATATCATTATTGACGTCTTCTGACAATGATTTATCTTCAACGAAAAGTTGATCAAATCCAGTACCCAAAATATATCGTAATTGAGACATCCATTTTCGATCAACAAATATATACTTATTGCCAGTGTGCTCCTCCGAACTATGAGTTATCAGAGTTGCATTCAGTCCTTTTAAAAATAATTGTCTAGATATTTGGAGAAAATATATAAATCTATCGGAAAAGGATACTAGTGATGCTCGGGAATTAAAATTTACCGAGACTCGAGAACCGAGAATTAAATCCGAGAACGAGCGGGAAATCAAGATCCAAAAAACCGAGGAAATCTTTGATCGAGCTTAAAGTACTTAAAAATAAGGTTTGTGTATAATCAGTTAGCAGTTTGTAGTACTGAATTTCTAGGGTCATGACTAAGAGTCTTGAACTTATCAATAATAATTTACCAATGAAAAGCAAGAAAGCAGCATATAGACCGACTGTGTTGCCACCATTCACAATTACATTTTTGTATTCATTATTTGATTCTTTGTTAAGAATATGGTCATTGTAGATTCTCTCGATCATAATTTTATCCATTTCTTTACTTAGAAATTTTGATAAATAAAGAATTGTTTTTAGTCCACGTAGAGCGGTAATATTTATTAAACTCAATAAATTCATTTCTTTAGGATGTCTTCGAGATGGGGGTCCTTTTTCCATAAAAGAGTATATATCAATCAAAGACCCATATGAACCATTTGATTGTAACTTATTCATGAAAATCTTGCAATTTATAACTGAATCTATTATGCTTATGTATTTTACATATTCATTTGCTATGGAACATGCTTTAAAATAGCAAAATTGAGTAACAAATTTTATACAAAAAATTTTTTTAAATACATATGTATTAAAATTAGGATCAGATTTTTAGGTTGTAAAAACATAAAAATAAGTGCCTAAAGAAGTTGAAAAAAAGCTATAATATGTAACAAAATTATCTGTTGACATTTGCGTAAAAATGTAAAAAACTGCAAGTAATTTTATTTTTATTTTCCGTTAAAAAATCCTTCAAGAAATAAAAATGGTAATAATTGTTATTTTTTAAAATTATCACTGTGGGATAATAATAAAAAAAAGATTGTTTTATTTTTAGGAAGGAACCGTTTCTTATCTCGGAACCGTTTCTTATCGCTAAATGAAATAAATCATAAAATTTACATGAAGTTTGCGCCTTTTCTTTTCCTTTTCCATTTTTTTCATCCTCCTGACAATATTTGACAATATTATCATAATTATCCAATTCTTTTTCAATATCACTAGATAAATCTATATTCTTTAAATATAATTCTATCTCGAAAGCTTTAGCTTCACTTAGAAAATTTTTAAAAGCATCTTGGTATATTGGAAACGAGACTTCATCTTTTATGTACTTCGTTGCATTCAAAAGGTATTCAAATTCTTCAAATGAAAGAACACCATTTGAATATGTATTACCACGGGGTCTGCCTGTTGATTCATCAATTTCAGATGCAATTTTTATATCATCTAAACGCCGAAAGCCAATTTCTGAAAAATCAAATCCTTACTGTTTTATGATCGTTAGATTAAATCCCAAAATTTATATGTTCAAATATGTTTTTTTATATGTTTTTTTTATATGTTCAAAAAATCTGCGACTATATTCTTACGATTTTTGAGATTTATTCGATCAGATTCACGTTCCATTTCCAGAACTGGAACCTCACCAGTTCAGGAACTGGAGCTCACGCATCACTTATCGTATCCTAGGAAAAGTTCTATCTATTTTACCTTTATCAAATTTAGGTCTCGGCCAAATAATTCTTTCATTTTGAAGTGAGTCGTAAATCAAATTGTCTTGTATTATTTTAGGAATTTCTGTCTTTTGATTAACAGCTTCATTCTCTTTTAAAACCCAAAATAATATCAAGAAAATTTTAATAAACAAAAATATTTTTGTTTTACTTTTCATTTATTTTTTAGTAGAACAAGAAAATATTTAAATTTAGATGAAGGAATTTTTCATAAACAGTAAATGTCTAAAAAGTTTTACAAATTTTATAAAGATGTCACTGAATTATTTTTAAAAATTCTAGATGAAATACATTCTTGTAGAATATATCATCTAAAAATAGAAGCAAAGTGGTATTTAAAAATATTATTTATGAAATTATTATAGGGATATAGTGAAAATAATGATTAAATAAATAAAATTCGGAAATATCAAGAGATATAAATAACAAAAAATTTCACATGATTGGGCGTAAACTCATGACGATTAGAATTCGTGTAAATATGTGATTGGCCATGTGAGCAGTCACATTCGATTGGCCACGAGATAGTCACAAGAAATTAATTTTTAAATTTACATCGCTATAAAAAATTTTTTAACGAGAAAGCAGTCGGATAAGAGTCTATGACTTTATAAAATAAAAGAGGAGATGGCGAATATTCATAATATCATAAGGAATTAACTCGCAAATTAAGAAATTTAACTCGTGAGAAATTATCTTGTGATTAAAGAAATTTATAACGACTATAACGAGTCCCCCTGTAAATTTTTTTAATTTTACAAATAACTCGAAAAAATTTTTATGAGCAATTTTAGCTCGCGAACTCTTTCTTTCTTTTAAATAGCATTCGACTCTTATCCGACTGCGCTCCTTTTAAAATTAATTTCTTGTGACTATTTAACGCTCAATCAAACGTGACTTTACACATGGCCAACAACATACATATAAAATTCTTCTTATTGTATCTTTTGATATTGCCGAAACCTAATTAATTAAATTATTCAAATTGACTACATTCCTAATAATAATAATTTTATAAATAATATTTTTTAATAGCTCTTTGATTCTATTTTTAAATGAAGTTGCGTCTAATTTAATACAACATTTAAATGTTAACAGGCTTTATTAATTTCGATTTTCAAAAGTTAGAATTCTCGCTCACAACATAAAATTGTTAGCGACCAGTTTTAATATTTCCGGAAAAATATAATTTTTTCTCACAAATCCTTATTAATTATTGAAAAAATTTGAAAATTTTTAGAAATTTCAGAAATTCAAAAATTTAATTCTTATATAAAAAATATGTACATATAAAATAAAAGTATAATAAAATTCGAAATTAAGTAACTCTAAATTTCAACGTATTCCTAACATCCTGTCCGCAACATCGGATTGTTGGGTTTTGTTTTCCGATGACTGCTTGATTTTATCTTTTTAAAATTGCATACTCCTACGAAAATTAATTCATTAATCGTCAAGCATTTCCTCTCACTAGTTTCATATTTATTATCAATTATTGACACGTTTGAAATTATACAGATACCCACTCTAATTTTACATATGCCATTTTCTTAATTAAAAAACCGACAACGACTGGCAATCAATTTTATTTTATAAAATTAAAAAAAAATTAAATAGAAATTATCTTTATTTAAAAATTAAATGTAAATTTAAATGTATTTATTAATTAATATTCGTTATTTATTTCAAATTATATTATTTTATTTAATTATTTTGATTAAAGCACAAACAAATAATCATTGTAAAATTATTTTTTTTTAATTTAATTTAAAAATTTTTATATAATTAAGTTATTTACAAAAATCATTTTCTAAGATTTTATAAACAAATTTTCATTGATGATATTGGGGAAGATATAATAAATCAGCCAATTTATTTTAAATTAAATCTGTCAATTTTAAATTTAAATATTGAAAAAAATTTAAAAATAATAGAAAATGTTTTAAATAAAAATATTCCAAAAAATAAAAAATCTGGTAAAAAGAAAAAAGGAGGAGATAAACAAAATAGTAAAACTAATGTAGAAATATCTGAAGAAATTAAAGAAAAATTTAAAGGAAAACATTCTGAATTAAATTTATTAATTTCAGAAATTAATAAAAAAGAGTTGAATCAGTTAGATATAAATGATATTAAAAATGTATTAAAAATACATTTATTTTTTGAGGTTAAATTTGCTGAAATTTTTAATTAAGAGTTTAGTTTAGTTTTTTTTTCATAAGTTTAGCCACCGGTGGGCAGGACTGAACCTTCGACCTCCTTGTAGTTATTGCTAGGCGCTTTCGCTCACCGCTAATTCTTTCTTTTTATCCTTTTAAATCGTTTAACCCCCGCCTATTGTTTCAATTATAGGGATATCAAAGAGTAGAGAATACCCGTATAGGGTTTTGGATATCAAAATTGTCCAAGTTTCTTCTATCCGATCTCGGATAACCCGTAACATCCTTGATATTTATGGTCATTATTTAATTATCTTCTTGTAATAATCAAAGCTGTTTTTTCATCAAGTTGTTTGTTTTTTAAATTTTATTTTCTTTAGAAGTTTAAAGATAGCATTGGAAATAAACCTTCAACCTCCGATTTCTCAACTTCAGTAAAAGAAAATATTTTATTAAATGATGATTCGATAAATAATCAAGTTGCTTTGCTCCAAATTAAAGAAATTAAAAATTTATTAATTAATACTGAAAATACAAATGATTTAAGAAAGTCAGATTCTAATATTTTTGCAAAAGAATTTTCGCGAAATATTGCAAATTTGTATTTTTAATGAATCTGGATAAATTATATGTATGTATATGTTTGTATATCGTAAATATTTAATATTATTTTTAAATTAGTACAATGTCTCTCGAATCTCATTAACTATAATGACCTAACAAAATCTCAAACCCTCAATTTCAGTTTTTATTATATTCCATTAATTATGTTTTTTTTCTTATGTAAATTTATTTATAAAGTATAACCTGATTATAAAGAAGATCAATCAATTGTGACATGCTTGTAATAATTTGTTGAATCTCATTCAACTATTCAAAAATTTATAGAATAATATAAGCTCATAAATATATAAGCTCGAAAACTTTTCCAAACCTAGAGTCGGATAGGATTAGAATTCTATCTAATTGAGTGGCTGACCGCTATATTAATATTATTCCTAAAGGGTAGCTCTAATGGAGACAAAACGGTCGTTATATAAACTAAAACGGCCCTTTAATTGGATTTACTAGGAGACATGAAAAATCGAAATTTGTTATAGTAAATTTCCATAATAACAA